AGAAGCAGAACCTAAAGAAGAACATGATTCTGATGAGAGTGAGGAGGTAACTGAGGATAGTGAGCCTATGGAAGTTGTGGTAGTTATCCCAGCTCTACATTCACCCCAAGTCCTTACATAAGCATCCTTAGGAAGATGGGGAAGACACGCCAGACGGAAGGAAAGACTACCCATATCTTTGGGGAGTTTAGAAGCCCTGATATTGCTTACCCGTGGACATGAAGAGGTACCAAAGAGACCCTGCCTGGATCACTGTTGTAGCTGAGGACAAAATCTTTGTTGAAAGAAATACCATCTGATATGAGATTGGACAGGGCTCGGCAACGCGCCCTCCACCCACTGATAATACAAGATCCTTAGCCCAACTATTGGAGAGCACCTAAAAATTGGAGAAACAAATAAGCGTGATGTCAGGTGATAGAAACATTAACAAGAACACGACCACCCATGTGGCGTGGAGTGCGAGGAGAATAGAGAGCAAGTTGACCCAACAAAAGACCTCTATGACAGATATTATGTTGTTTATATATTGTTAACGATGATATTCATTGACGTTGTACCTCCCAGCATTTCCATCGTCGCCTGGGGATGGGACAAAAGAAGTAGGAGACATTAGTGACATATGCACTAACCACAACAACACCCACTCCGCATAAACAATAAGCATGGAAGAACACAAAATGTAGCAAATTCAACAACCACCACAGAGGTGCGTGTAAGGAAATTATCTGCAACATCTAAAGTAAAAAGAGCCACTGCACTAAGTATGCAGTTGTCTGACACTTGCAGCAAACCCATGAATTGGTAATCTTATGACCATCAGAAGGTTTGACAATATAATCGACATGGATTGGTTATCCCTTCATCATGCTAAAACCATGTGATGTGAGAAGGCCATACGACTACCTTTACGCAAGAATGAAACCCAAGTCATTTATGGAGACAAATCAAGGAAAAACCTCTAGATCATATCTTACATGAAGGCTAAGAAATGTCTACACAAGAAATACTACGCTTTCCTAGAACATGTTGCAGATAAAAAGAACAAAGAAAAAGAGATCAAAGACAATGTGCAACTATCCTGATGTATTCCCAGAAGATCTCCTAGGAGTGCCTCTTATTAAACAAGTTAAGCTTCGAATCAACTTAATCCTAAGAGTAGCACCAATGACAAAGTATCCTTAATATATTTTGCATATAAATATTCTAGATAAGTACTCTAAAACACATTTAAAATGTTTTTTTTCATGAGTACCATTGAGAAAAATTAATCATCGATTCATGGATTCATCAAACTTGGCCACCAATGCAAAGATGGCTACGAGAGTACGAGGTGATCATAAGCATGTTGCCTTTATGTTTTTTATAAGCCATCAAAACTCAAACTCAAGCATTAACTCAACAACAAATACTAACTCTTGTTTAAAATGATATATGATATTATATATACTATCAATTCTTAAAATGCTCATCTGCCTTAAAGTTTTTTCTATTTCCTGTTTTTCCACGGACGTTTTTTTTCATTTTCATGCCACAATGCTTTTCTTTTCTCCTTCTTCTATAAAGTTTTTTCTCTTTCTTGTTTTGCCACGGAAGTTGTTTTTTCATTTTCATGCCACAATGCTTTCATTGTCTCCTTCTTCTCTTCCATTCTCATCCGCATAGATTCCCACCTTGCCGCCCTCTTCCTCCCATAATGTTTCTTTCGCAATAATAACTATCCCGCTTGACATGCACAAAACATTGCATTCTCTCTTCGCTGCTCCGTTGCTCCCTTCGTATGAACGAGGTGGATATGCCAGGTTTGTGGTGGTTTTCGTAAAGATGGCTTATAAAATCGAAATACAAACTTGTCATCAGTGTCAAGAGGCTGCGGTGGTGAGGAGCATCGCCAGTGAGGGAGCATAATTTCGACTCTGAAATTCAGATTAAGGGTTTATGGGTTAACCTATTGTTCTAATTCAAGAACAACATATTTACGGGTTATGCTTATCATATCAGAATACCAACCCACTTGTTTGAACTGAGGAAAACCACCGCACACCGCCATTGCCACCTTCTATTTCCTCATCTCTTAACAATATCAAAAATAGAAAGGAGGAGTTTCCTTCTCTTTTTGTACCACCACATGAACTGACGGCGGTGTATGGTATCTAACTTGCTAGACTCTAGGGTTGATGAACGCTTTGAAGATGGTATTATCCTATGAGTTTTAACACATGATAATGTGTGTAAATGAGATGAAACTAACATGAAAGTGTGTAGAAACACTAGATTAAAAAGGAATACTTACCAAAAATTCTAAGAACCAAAATGAAGAAATAAATTCTTGGAAGATTTGGACTTGTTTCTTGAGAGGAAATGAAGAACTTTGAAGATGGTGGGGGTTTGGGGATGATCTTGGCCAAATTTAAAGAGGGAGGGGTGAGGTGATGTTTGCACTGTTATTTATTACATAATAGCCTTGATACATGTTGGGTAATATTTTGTGTTGGAAATGATGAAACCTCATGTCACGAAATCAAATCTTTTCTTGTTTTCTTTCACACCAAAAACCGCTACCAGTCCACCGAAACAGTGTCACTGAGATCATAGAGTTTTTTAGCCCCAAACCGAAAACTATAAAAGCGAAATCATAAAGTTTTCGGCCCTAAACCGAAAACCCTAAGTCAAAGTATAAACCCAAAATTCATGTCCTAATCAATTGACTTTCGTTGACTTGTTTGACTTTGATTGACCCTGAACAGCAGGGGGTCACAACCTAGTACACAATCAGCACGTTCGATTATTGTGATTCCACAATATTAATTTTGGTGTTATTTTTTATTTGCATCACAGTATCTATCACATGTCTTAATTAATTTTGGTGTTATATATATATATATATATATATATATATATATATATATATATATATTTGCATCACAGTTTCTATCAGATGTCTTAATCTTCATCTATTATTCTAAAATTGAAGATCACTACAACAACTTCATCAGACATTGCTAATTTTGATTTGGTCGTCAATCGAACGGAGGAAGGTAGTGATGGGGACGTGATGAATTGTGCATCTAATTTGCCTTTCAGGTCTCTGTTTGTTTAATATATATTCTTCAGTCTATAATAAAGTTCAAAATTTCAATTATAGGATGAGAGCAATATTTGTGAAGTTCCTAATCATCACGTTTGTTTCTTTCTTCCATGCTATTACAATTACACAATTTTTTCCAACTTCAGTTTAATCCCAAATTGATTGATAAATTGTGCATCTAATTATTATTTTCTTATTTTTTATTGGATATTTATTTGTTCAGGAGGTGTTTGTGGACCCTACACGTGATGAAAGCTTGATATTTGAGCTTTTAGAATTGTAACATGATGTTGAAGACAATGGAAGTGCTACTTGGTTTTTACAAGACCTTGCTAGAGAACAAGGCACCGAGAGCAATATCATAATTTCCTTCCACTGTATTCATCAAATATCGTAAATACATGTTATTTATGTTAAAAAGAAAAGTAAATCTTTTGTTTTTATTTATCTGATGTAGGTGACTGAGCAGTCAACAGTGTTTGAGGCTCTTGAACTCCAATTCAGAAACATGCCAGCTGTCATAACAACTGCTAGTGCCCAAAAGTTATAAAAAATAAATCCTTTTGTTTTTATTTTTCTCTTAATAAGCCTATATATTCAAAACTAATGACAGATATAAAATTATTCAGTTTTTGTGTTTGATGGGTTTCATTATTTCCAAGGGAGGATAGAGAGAATTCAATTCCCTCTCGCCTTTTCATTGAAAGACCAAAATATCCTTACTATATACATATCGAAAAAAGTAAGAGAGAAATAACCATTTAGAGAAATTAAATTACCTCCTATCTTTTATACCTACAATTATTCCTACCCACTAAAGTTATGACAAATCATCATTCAATTTAATTGTATTTGATATATTCCTAATATAGCCTTAATGAGTTAGTTAAATAAATATGGAATAATGACACTTGTCACAATTTTATTGGGTAGGAACATTTGTAGGTATAAAAAGTAGGAATCAATTTAATTTCTCAACTATTTATACTTTATTTTTTCGGATCAACCATAAAAGTACCTCACATTTTTCATGTTTAACTGTTTTGACTTTTTGATCTAATATTGCAAATAACAATGGTCAGAATGGTAAATTTGAAAATTACTTTAAAATCTAATATAACAAGTCAAACCGCTTATTTTAGAAAAATATATGAAACTTGTCAGGTTTAATTGAAAAAAAATATTACCGGTCAAATCGCAAAAGTGCTCAAAATATAATATTTCTTCTTTTTTGTAATTTGCATTAAATAAAAAAAAAGTTCAATTTTGTGTATATACAAAAAATAAAGAATAAATTATATGAACCAAACATATTGTAATTCCTTTGACAAATTCTGATTCCGTTATTGTTGTAGGCCATCTCTAAAGCAAGACAAGGAAGAGAAGCATAAAATATAGTGAAGGTATCTTTTATAATTTCATAATCCAATCCACCATTAAATTGTTTTTTAAATAATGTCAATTTTTTGTTTTTTTTAATGACAAAACTGCAAAAATGGTCCATGTGGTATGCATTTTTTTGGGGTTTTAGTCCAAACCCCAACTTTTTTGGATTTGTGGTCCTTTTGACCATGTTTGTACGTAAATTTGGTCCCTCGTAAAATTGAAATGACTATAATGTCCTTTCTGATATATTTTTTATGTTTTTTTTATTTAATTTAAATAAAAAAGAAAATAAATAATTAACTTGGGCCCACATCTCTCTCTCTCTCTCTCTCTCTCTCTCTCTCTCTCCAAACCTGACTACTCACCGCTCCCTCATCTTCTTCCCTTGGTGCCATTTCCCCTTACTGATAACACCGATAACAGAGAAAAATTCCTTAGGATGACTCTGATTTACAAGATGAATCGATCGATGAATGAGGTGGGCCGGAGCAATTACTAATCGATTACCTTACTTAGAAAACGCTCGATGAGGCCTAAATACCATATCGTTTCAATAATCCTCGGAGTCACCAGAATTGTCAACAATAGCCTCACCAAAATCCTTCATGAATTCATCAGAATCTTCCAAGTTGTATGTGAGGTAAGCCTGCACGGTTGTTTTTTAAACTTGATCTTACAAGTTTGATACTTGGAATTTGAGAATCCTTATGGGGATTTTAAGAAGTCGATGAAGGAGACTCATGATTTAAAAGATTGGGATTGTTTGGAGAAGACAGTGGGTGTATGTATGTGTGTTTTGTTCTTGCTTCACCGAAATCCCTATACCCTCTTCCTCACATAACCTATGTTGGCTGACGATTCAATGACGGAGAAACCATGTCATAACCAGATCGGAGTTTTCATCCGCAGTTGGGGGCACCAAAATCAAGGGGGAAACTAGATTGGTAACCACAAACAATGACAGATTAGATGGCAGATCGAGAACATAAGAAACAACCACATAGGAGATGGCAACGATAGAGGAGGCTGGAGAGGGTCGATGTTGTTTGTATTGGGGTAGCGAGAGCATATGGAACCTCAAACCACCATAGAACACCACCCACCTACCTCTTCGACTCGCACCTGAGGAGTTTGTGGCCTGACTGTTGCCGAAAAGTAGGATGCATCGGAGTTTGAGGAATCGTCGGTCGCTACCTCAATGTGTGTCTTTTAATCTCAGTGTGTGTTGATGAAGAAGACGATCAGGGGGAGAGAGAGAGAGAGAGAGAGAGAGAGAGAGAGAGAGAGGGGATGTGGGCCCAATTAATTAATTATTTTCTTTTTCTTTTAAATTAAAATGGAAGAACATAAAAAATATATCACAAAGGGCATTTTAGTCTTTTTAGTTTTCCAAGGGACCAACATCACAAGCAAACATGGTCAAAAGGACCACGAAGCCAAAAAAGTCGAGGTTTGGACTAAAACCCCAAAAAAATGCATACCACAGGGACCATTTTTGCAATTTTGTCTTTTTTAATTTATTTAGGTATATTTGATAAATTTGAGACTCAAAGGAGTTGGGGCAGATGTAGTTGTTACTGCATACGAGCTTGTCTTCATAAAGTATATCCTTTTTTTGTGAGTTTATGAACAAATTTAATCATGTTGTGTTGTGGTTGCAGCCCGTTGAGTGAAAGTGCGAGCTCGGTCGGAGCCGTTTTAACGGTGCCGGCTGCACAGTCTGGTTAAACAGTGATGGTTGAAGTTTTTAAACAAGCGGTCTCTTAGAACTTCACATCTACGACGCCAAGGTGGACGAGGGTTGCGATAGGTTGGGTTATGATGACGTGGAAAAAGAAGAAGATGTTTTGTTGATAAGTTTGTTGCATGTATTGGGAACTGATGGGGAGGACACTTTAAGGTGTATAGTTGGAGTGGTGGCTAATGAGGAGTCACAGGGTGACAAAGATGCTCTGGTTTATAGCATTTCACCAGGGATTATAGACCTCACTTAGAAGGTAAAGTTACTCTTTTTGTGTTGTTTGTTTGGATAGGGTCTTTGTGTGAATTTGCATCATTTTTTGAAGGTTGATGATGGGAAAAGAGCCGAAATGATTAACCTATAAAGAGCTTGAGCACTTAGAGCATCAACTTCATGATGGCATATTAGCTGTCAAAAATTGGAATGTGTTATATCATGAAGTCAAATAAGTGTTTCTTTCTATTTTCAAACTTATTAATAATAATAATAATAATAATAATAATAATAATAATAATAATAATAATAATAATAATAATGTGTTTTCAAATGATCTTTCATAAACACAAGTAACATAAAATTAACATGAATATCCTTAATTACACCTATGTTATTAGATAATTCTTTGAATATAGCCTTATGGAAGAGATCGAACAACCTAAATTACGGGTAATTAGTTTGTTAATGCATAAAAATTTAGTGTATATCATTATTTAATGATCATGTTTCTCTATTGGAAAACACATGACAAGATGACTTTTTAGTTTGTTTAGTATAGTATGCATTTGGTTGCAGTTCATGTCAATGAGATAAGATTTCATAATCCTCATTCCCATCATGGAAAAAAAATCTAAAAAGGTTTTCAAATCTTTTTGATCTTGGTCTCACACTCCTACAAAGCGAATGCCACCTTAGGATTTTTTTTTTTTTTTGTTTTTTCATTTTTTCCTTCTCCTTTTGGCATAATCTTAAAGGAGTGACTACATTGATATAGGGACAAAGAGCTATGCAAGAAAACGAGTCTTTGAAGAAACAAGTAAAGTTTCTTAAACACTACGGGAATCCCAACAAAGTCAAATTATTTACATAATAAAAGTTAAAACAAATTATATTAATTCCATTAAGAAGAACGTTCAAGTTTCGTGAAGAAGCTTTGACACTCATATTGGATATTAGTAGCATTGTCATTACCCTATTGGTGAGTTTCTATATATTCTTCTACTTTGAACGAGCAGACCACCTTTTCTTTTAGACGATTGAGAAGTGAAGTTGAAGTCTCGAAGAAATCCGGGGAAGAAGTTTAAGAAGGTTCGGGAGCTACCCCAATAGTAATAGGAGTTGTCGCAGAAAGTCTTTCTCTTTCTTCTTTATCATCAACTGCAGAAGAATGCGGTTAGAGTTGATGAACAGCAGAAGGCCACAGTACATCTCCATCATCATTCTCCCCCGGGGCTGATTAATTAAGTTAAGGAAAGAAGCGCCCCCATTAATTAAAGAGAACATTCAAGGATACATCGAGTCTCTTGGATTTCACGTCATAGCGTCTATACCCGGACTGAGCATATCCAAGAAAGGTGCTTAGTCTGTCTTCGAATGTGGGCCTAGACGCATTAGCCGAGTCTTTGAATATTCCTGAGGGTTCTCATGATAAAGACAGCCTTAAGGTGCTAACGGAGCTTCCATGGTCTCAGTCCATGAAGATGCTTGCTTTATTGGTTGGCAGCTTGGTTATAGTCGTTATGAAGATTGAAGGAGCGACGAAGGAATTAGTTTTTTGTATTTCTAATTATTTTTTGTGGGTTCTACTTTTTTTTTTTGCAGCCACATTATAACTCTCATTTATTACACTCTCAAATAACCCAAAAAAGAAAATCAGCAGCTAGTTCCATCAAGTTTTAAACCAAATTAAACAACAATAACCAAAATAAATATCTTCATCATATGAGATGCCGGGAAAAAGTTTCAACATTTTGGATATTTCATGCCACTAGTTTTCGAGCATGAAGAATTAGGCACTTCCATCAATACAAACCCATTGACCCACAAAGACCGATTCACAATTGATGTTGGGGTTAATCGCCAAAAACGATGACAAACTCATCCCAAACTCTTTGCTAATGATGGTGCAATCATCGCCAGCTTCCGCACCGACAACTTGGCTGCACACAAGGGCTGATTTTGCCTTCTGGACACCATCTGTGTGTTCACGATTCCATTAATCAAAACATTCGTCCATGTGTTAATATGCAGATTAAAACAAGAAAACGTTCTGATTTTGATAACACTTAAAAAGTTGGAAACCAAATGACTTACCGGTTAGGGTGAATCTGCTTTCTGACAACACAACGAGCATCAGGAAAAGTGAGAGTACTGCTGCCATCTTCACAAACAAGGAAGCGTTCTTGGCCATGTTGTTATCGAGTTTTCTTTCCTTCTTTTGCAAGAAAGATGAAGATACTGGGATACCTGATCAGTTCTTGATAGTGATATTTATAGCGAAAGATTTAGATAAATTACTACGATATGTTTCCTTACATGAGCCAAATTCACATTGTAATCTGAGAATTAACAGCCGGCCATTGTTCTAGTTAAAGTTTCTTGTTTTTACTTTGTTTCCATTGATTCCTAGCAACAAAGTTTAAGCTATACTAACATAAAGTTTTGAAAACAAGAATGCAAAACAAATAACCAAAATAACTCTTTGATTAATTGGAAAATCACTCAAAACCAATGTTTTTACAATCTGTTCTCATAATCATAAACTCGATTATAGATAGGTATATATAGCTTAACAAACCAACTTGTATTAGACTAGGAAACTTATGACCAACTTGCCATAAACTAAACTTTCCATAAATTAGATTGCTTGGACTCCAAGTCCTCATCGACTTAGGATTCCAACAATCACCTCTGAATCTCTAAGTCCTTCTAGAGAATTCTTCAACCCGATCCGTATTTAAAAAACGGATTCGTCACTGTCGTCACGTTCCGAAAAATCACCGTCTTTTAATTTTTGGAGTCGTTCCGGACATTCAGAAGCAAAGTGACCCGGTTTGTCACACCGAAAACAAATCACCTTAGATCGATCCTTTTCCCTATTTTTCCGATTCTTCCCACAACAACAATTACAATTTTTGCAATCAGAATTAGAATTGGACAGTTTATTGGGCCGACTGCTTTGAGAAACCCTATTATTCCCTTTGGGCCCGCCTGATCCGCCCGACCTGGATAACCCACTATATCCGGATCCACTTGACCCATTAGTCCCATTAAACTCATTTGCTTTATTAGACCCAATCGATCCTTTCCAATTTCCCTTCGTTCCCGATGAGTTACCCCCACCAGTCGACGACCCACCTCCATCTCCGGTCGATTTTTCGGCAAATAGAACCCTCGATTGTCCTTCTCCAGCATCGACTTCCCTTATTCTTTCTTCATATGCCTTCAATCGACCCACTACGTCTTCAAACCCTACCGATTTTAAATCTAGTACCTGTTCAAGAGATGCAACGATGTGAATGAAGTTTCTGGGTAATGATTTGAGGAATTTCTTCACTAATTTTGATTCCTCAATCGTTTCTCCTAATGCCGACGATGTAGACGCGATTCCGGACAGCTTTCCGGCAAAGTTATCGATTGTTTCTGACTCGAGCATCTTCAGGCGATCGAATTCCGACATCAAGGTTTGTAATCTCGCTTCTTTGACTCTATCTGCGCCCACATTACGTGCTCTAATCGCATCCCACAATTTCTTGGCTGAATCCTGATCTCCAATCTGCATTATGAGGTTTTCTGGTAGGGCTTGATATAGCAAACCCATGGCAAGGCAGTCCTTTTCTTCATTGACATCGGTTCCTGGATCAATCACAGTCCAGGCTTTGTGGATGCGTAAGACAACCTTCATACGCATTGCCCACACGGTGTAGTTAGTGGATGTGAGCATCGGACACAAAACTGAGGTTGTCCCAACCTCCTTCACTCTCACCGGAGCTTCTCCTTCTCCCCCTGTATCTGTCATGTTGACCTGACTCGTCAACAGGTACAAATCGATCTCACAGCTTCTCAACCTAAGCTCTGATACCAATTAAAGTTTTCAAAATGAGAACGCAAAACAAATAACCAAAATAACTCTTTGATTAATTGGAAAATCACTCAAAACCAATGTTTTTTACAATCTGTTCTCATAATCATAAACTCGATTATAGATAGTTATATATAGCCTAACAAACCAACTTGTATTAGACTAGGAAACTTATGACCAACTTGCCATAAACTAAACTTTCCATAAATTAGATTGCTTGGACTCCAAGTCCTCATCGACTTAGGATTCCAACATAACAGTCTCAAACTTACCAACGGGCTGCATCTTGCGATTAAAAGTATTACTTACTATTTATCTCAAATATCGATCGCTTTCTTGAAATCTGTACTATGCTTAATCTTGCAAACTCATCAGTAAAATATCTATGACAAGTGTATTTTATTAACTTGAGCAAAAAAAAAAATGGAATAAACAAGAAAGATACTCTGAGAATGATCCAGGTTTCACTATCAGTTACTCATCATTAAAATTAATGTTACATGTACACCGATATTGAGAACCAAAAGCATGAAATGCTTTTATTCTATCTCCAAGTTTATCCATGAACATTAAAGTGAAACCCCAAAATCCCAATTTCTTCTATAGAACTATTCACTTTTAACTTTGCAATTTTATAAACAGAAAAAAACAAATTACCGTAATAACATTTACCATTTACTGAAATAATTTAAAATCATATTATTATTATCCGAATTTTTAAATAGAGGATACGCTATTCTATTTACTAAAGTCTTGTACTTAGTAAATAGGTGTGAGACCCATGTATTACATAAGTTTATATATATATATATATATATATATATATATATATATATATATATATATATATATATATATATATATATATATATATAATAATTTGAAAAGTTTGAATTTGTAAGAAACATGATAATTTTTTTGAATTATTAAAATTAATGAGGCTTTAATATATTGAATACATTATATATTAATGTATTAAATACATTACATATATACATTATTTTTAATAAATACCTTATATATATATATATATATATATATATATATATATATATATATATATACACACATTAATTGTGGAATTTTAATTTAAAAAAATAAAAAATACAATAAAATAATAAGTGGAAAATAGAAAATTTAAAAATTCTACAAAATATCATGTGTCTAAATGAATAAGAAAAGGGCATGTGGCAAAAAAACATTCATTTATTAAAGTAGATTATTTACCTGTTGTATTTTAAAAATTAGTCTTTAAATGATAATTTTGATAATTACTGGGCCCATTTTTTACACCAAAAAAGAAACAAGAAATCACGCTCTGGCCATTTCCTCTCTGTCCCTATTACCGTCAAGGGTAGGACGGTAAAATCGTCTCCCATGCTTATTTCTCTATATGAGTTTGCTTTCCATTGGGTTTTTCGGTGATCTTCCTCCGTTACCGACCATGGTGGACGGCTCTTCTCGTAGAACTTGGTTTTGCTATTGTTGTCGTGCACCCGGATTCCAAACATGAAGAAGGCCACATAAAAAGAAGTTGAAAAGCTGAGTAACATCATTGCGGGACTAACCGTGTCCTTTTTCCCGGTGAAATCTCTCATCATATTTGGTAGCAAAGTATGGTTGTAAAAATATGTATTCACCATGATTGCCTTATCAAATGTCTTTTTTAAATGAGGCAATTTGAAGATGTCTTCAAACATCTTATCAATGCAATGCCCCACACAAGGAGTCAGATGTTCGGGCATTATAAAATAAGAATATAAGTGTTATGGCTTTGAAAAAACAAGTCTTACCGGCAAAAACAAATGTTGTCGGCAATATTTGTGAGAATTTGAATAACGCCATGCAGATTGACTTTTTGGACGAAACAGTCAAATAATATGAACATGTTATCATCGATATGTGAATAACTAAATGCATCAACCAGTTCAATGAACATACTTCCTCGAGGAGTTTTCACTAAGAAATTGATTAGCGCCCTTCTGTTCATGTCCCTCCATCCATCCGCCATTAAGGAACATCCATAGGTTGTCTTTTCAGCCTCATTTTCATTCAAAATTTTCTTAGTGTGTTCCAACAAAGCTTTAACATCGAAACTCGGATCTCATGATAGCTAGGCGGTTTCAAACCATAACCATGTTTGCTACCGCTTCAAGTGTAGGCCCTAAAATCTCATGTTTCATGGCATTGGATGCAACACTCACATCACATACATCAAATGTGAAATCTTTTGGACCGGTTGAGTAAAAAAGTAACATGAAGCATGAAGAAATAATAAGAAGAAACTAGTTGACTAAGTAAACAACAAGAACTCAAAAAGACTAACAAAGACTTTAGTTTAAAGTTTACATTGATCAAAAGAGACATGTTAACAGCAAACAAATAGAAACAAAAGTGATCAAAACAGGAAGTAGAAGTGGTCATTGTTGGTAGCAACATAGAGACACAAATTGAAAGCAGAGTGATTTGTATTTACTTAAAGCCTTAATTCTTGTATTTCAATTTTCCCCATAAAAATGGGAAAAACAAAGAAATACATATTGTCGCTATTTAGTCCGCTTTCTGTCGCTAAACACAACATAGCACCACTTTACCTATTTACGATGCTATTCGCAATAGGGACCACTATGGTTGTTATAACAATTCTGGTTGAGACAAAGAGTCTCAACCATAGCTTCTTCAGACATAGGAGATTAGATAATTAGAAAGATGCATTAATAAGCCCGTTTCCAAGTAATAAAGTCGGGATTCAGAGATGACTGACCATTTACCTCTTTGGATGCCAATGAATAAGATATGAGTAACATGGTTTTGCCAAAGAAGGTAGTTAGAGTATGAGAACTTGATCATCATAAGGTGAAAATATTAGCAAGAGGAAGAGATGAATTAGTAGTGGCTTAAGGCATTGAGTCACTGATGATCACTGGTGAAGGTATAAGACAACGACAACGATTAGGATAACGATCAACTAAATGACTGATACTATATAAGAATTAGGTCGGAGATGGATAGAGATGTAGCAACGAGTTTATAATTAAGCAAATTAGCATGAGGAAGAATGTCCTAAACATATTTGAATTGAGTGAGAAAAATACAAACATCCATGTAAGATTCCACAAGCCCAAGGGATAATTAAGACGACCAAGAACCTTTTCAGCAAATTGATTACTGAGGAGAGAAATGAAAGTTCCTGAATTAGAGGCAGGTTGTTACATGCTAAGATTACGTATAAACATTGAGAATGGAGTATTAAATCCTATAGCCTTTTATTTAATACAAGGATAAATGTATTTGCACAAATACACACAAAACAAATACAAATAAGGAATGCTTGATTTAATACCTGGTGCTTGATTTAAGTCGTAAAGAGCCTTTTCTGATGACATACGCAATGAATAAATCTTTAATCAAGGAAAACCAGTGGTTACTCTATAAACAAAATGTAGGTGAGATGCCCATTTAAGAAGGTATTTTTCACATCAAGTTGATGTAAAGACCATTTATGATAACAACAATAAAATACATAATACATATAGCTGATGACTTGATAATGAGCCCAAAAGTCTGAGAATAATTTTGCTCTAGAATTTGAGTAAAACCTTAAGGTGGCCAATCGAGCTCTAAGGTGTTCAACTATGCCATAAAAGTGGAACTTCTTCCTAAAACCCCATTTCAATCCCACTACATTGTAAGAAGTTGAGCGTGGAACTAAATCCTAAGTGTTGTTGCTACATAGGGGTGAAAATTTCTTTTTCCCTTGTCACAACCAGTATGGGTTCTTACTAGTCAACTTAAACCATTTGGGTAATTTATTTGAAAAGAGAGGAAGATGAAGACCACGATATGCAAGTTCAATAAGATAAGCAATATGTTTTTTTATTCTAGCATATGATCGAGTAACCATGGGATGTTTAGAGGATGGTGGTTTATGAAAGAATGAATCAAGGTTGGAAAGAGATTATCCAACAATTCATGAAGGCGATGACGTTGTGGTTCTGCAAAGTGTTGGACATCTGTGGATTTTAATGATAATAACAGCACAATAGTTACAAGTAAGAAGGAGGCAGCCTTGGGTGAGTGTTTGTTGTTAGCCATGAGTGGATTAGCAACCACATCAAGTTGATGTAGGAAAAGATGACAAGCACATAATGGAAAAATAGTTTGTGTGGGAATAGGAGATATCAGTTAACATAGTAGGGAAATAAACGCTTATTGAATTGGGCATGGTAAGTAGTATAGATTCATTTGGTAGAGGGATCAAACATTAGTTACCTTTGTATTGGGAATTTATCCAATAAAGATACACTAGATGTTACAAGGTGTGTATTTATGT